TTTTTAAGAAACCAACTAAAGTCTAGTCACCTCCTTTGTGAAAGATGACATGATAAATCCCCTAGTCATGCTTCTGTTTTATGGGGGGAATACAGAAAAGGTGCACTGCTTGTTTCACCAGTTCACGCTCTAACTCGGGCATCTCCTAAAGAGAGAATACAAGTGGCTTGGTAGTTTTTGGAGTTTTGCTCTGTAAGTCTATTTTAGATTTTTTTTTTTTTTTCCATTGATGACTTAGGCTGAATTTTTGATCCTTTGTGGCATGTTACTAACTTAAAAGTAGTAGTCTTTTTTTTTTTAAAGTGACAGCAGCATATGTTATTAGTAGGAGATTCTCAAAGGAGTCTGTCTGGCAAGAGATTTCTCACAGCTGCTTTTGCTTGAAATCATGCCAAGTTTGGTTAGTTCAAAAATAGTACTTTTTTTTTAACAGCGCTTTGTCTACTTCTAACACATGCAAATGTTTTGGCTTTTTATTTTTTAAGTTCAGTAGGTCAGTCTTTTAATCATGGATATGAAATGCACTTAAAATTTAGTTTTTTAGAACTCCTTTTAATTTTGTTCTATACGAACAGGAAGAAATGCAGACAAAATGTGTATTTGCATATATCCAAGGTGTCAGATTAAAATTTTCACTCACTGTTTCATCTTACAATTAATTATGTGGAATCTTGTGGGAGATAGTAAGAGTGTGAGATGCTTCTGATCACATCAAATAATAGCCTGGATAATCTCTAGGAGACTATTCCTTAATTAGTCTCTTCAAAGATCCAAGTTCTCATGCTATTTATTATACTTCCATTGCTTACACATTAATTTAATAAACTTAAAGCCCTCAAAATTAATCGGCCACAGTGTGGCGCTCTGGAGCCACGACAAGAGAGCACATGGGTCTGGGGTAAGTGAATATAGGCTCTCTTCCTCAACACTCTGCCTCTGTTACTCTGGCTTGCCATGGGATCCCTGGGGGCCAGTCTGGATTAAATGAGTTCGTAAGCTCTAGTTGCCTGTCGCTTGTTTAGTCTAAGTTGCATCATCTAGCTATTTATTGCCAGCTTTCAGTGAAGATGCCTGTAATGGTAATGTTTATGCTGACTGGCTTTTTCTTATGCATTTGAAATAGTCACTTCTCTCTACGTACACTAAATAAGCTGATACCATGGACTACTGTTCCAAATTGTGGACATCAGTACAAGTGACATTTTGGAGACTTGAAATAACTGAATCTCTTGATAGTATTTTTTTGTTTTGCCAATGTCTTTTCACCTATAATTGAAATAAAAAAACAAAATGTATTTAGTCAGGATACACGTCAGAGCCATCAAGTGATGTATTAATATAATGGTGTGTTTCTCAGGCTGTAGTGACACAATCGTGTAGAACATTTTTGCACATGACAGATTTCATAAAAGTGTTGCTTAATGCACATTCTTTCCCTGACAGGTTGAGTGGGAAAGAGCACAGTGTGTTCACGGGAGTGGCTATTATACATTGCAGCAGTAAAGGTACATGTGTCATTTTATTTAAACTCAGCATTTTCATTAAAAATTACTCTCATAAGGACTTTTACAAGTGAAGAAACAGGATGGAAATTTTTCATATACAGTCTGACTTGGCTTCCTACTCAAGATGAGAAGTACCTTATCGATATATAAATTAAAAACTCCCCACAAAAGCCAACCTTCTTACTGTATTCAGTTTTCACACAGGAAAGAGGATGACAAAATATGACAGACTTCAGAGATGCTGTCTCTGAAAGCTATGGGACTAATGAAAAGACCAGTGTAAATTGTGGGAATATTCTAAATGAAATTCAATTAAGGCACTACAAACTGTGCTGAATCTGATCCATATTAACTTTATTCCTGTGTTCTAGTTACACTAGGTGATGGATACAAGCGGTCGCCGTATCTGTAGTTACTTCATTTCATTCAGTAAATAAGGGAAACTTTAGAGCCCATTTTTAGGGGATGAGTGAGGTAATGGCTTAATGCCTCAGACTGTTAATGAACTGTAGGGAGCAATACATCAATGTTCTTTATCAGATAATTTACACAGTCAGGAAGTGTTTTTTATGAGAACTGTGCCATTAATATAATTTGAGTAGTGTTTGGTTTGAGGGACTTCCTCTGATAATTATGCCAATATTCTTTTAGTGGAACTTCTGCAAGGATCATTTGTCTGAAATTTCACTGGACATAGTCTTTCTGTAGACAAATTATTTACAGCTTTTAATCTTTACCGGGATGATTGCTCTTAACTCTTGTAATGGAAATAGTCAGTGAACCAGTACCCTTACTAATATGCTAGTA